AAGATCGAACCCACAGGGACAGAGGCAACACACAGAGTAAAAGTGTCACGTTTAACAGACTTTTGGTAGAGTTTGAATTCTAGGCGACTGTCACTCCCAGAAATACTGCAGTGCTCGACTCGGAGGCTCGACTCGGAGGAGGATCTCAACTCGGAGGATGCTCGGAGGATGCACGGTACAGCTTGGTCACTCAACACACACACACACACACACCTGAAACTGGCAAAAAAGCACAACTCGGAGGTCGGTCAGGACCTCCGCTTCGGATTTCAGGAGGAAAGTGTCTCGCAAGTTCACTCAGAGGTTCTGCAGGAAGTGCCTCCCACTCCGGCTTTTACTGCCCTTCCGCCAGGAACTAGCGGGGGTACCCGGACTGGACTTCTCACTTCGAAACGAAGCCTCTACGTACGCCGTGGACGTCACCCTCGACTATCACACGAAACGCAGGGAGTGCAGACCCGACTGAGAACTTACTGAAAACACGATCCAGTAACACACACACAACCTGAATTACAAACCAAGGTTTACACGAAGTAATGAAACTTCACATTGGCATTCAGGGGAAACTTCCCGTAGGAGTACAATCAGGATATGTCACTCGAAGGAGTAAGGGGGAACTGTTCAAGTCTCTAACTCGCAGCCGGCTCTGAGCATCAGAAATCACCCGCAGGTGCAGATCCGCACTACTCAAGTCTCTAACCGGGTGCTAGCTCTGAACATTCAGCCGAAGGCCTTCAACTACAACATACGGTAACTTCGCTATGCTGCAGCTTCTCTACGTGGTGCCAGGACCAAAATGCACAAACACGCCAAGAAAGTGAGTTCCTGATCTGCACTTCCGAAACTGGAAGAGTCCCAAGGCAAAACGCCTTGATCTACTTTATACTCTCAAAAGATCCTAACTAGCACTACGCTATCCTATCTACCACTCGCAGCATCTGCGCGAAACCAAACTACTCTACTGCACTCAGCAGATCCGGTGCTGCGCCTCCTGCGCGCCGGACTGCTCCGCTTACTGTCTCTACCTTGCCAGTCTTCCGACCGGCTGCGCAACCCCAGGCGTCGGAGCGCTGCAGTGACTTCCGACTGCAAGTGCGCCATAGTGTCGCGCGCACCCGACAAGAAAGTTTCTAATTTTCTCGCCACTCGCCGCCGACTCCGACTGTCACCTTCCGTCAAGGCCGCCGCCCGAAGCTCGAACTCCCGGAGTGTAACCCTCTCTTGAGCTGCCACCTCCCAATGGGTGTATCCGTTTAGACAACGAGTCACCCGTGCCGCCAACTCTCCTCGTGCCCTGCAGCTGCTCTCCACCTCTGCCAGCTGCATTTCTAATTCCGCACGTTGTGCCCTCAAATCCGAGCACTCGGTTTGCAAGTTGCACAACAACTCCTCATCCTCCTTGCGGGCTCTGTGACTTTCCTCTAAGGCGCGCGTCTGGCGCGCAAGCTCGGCTGCTAGGACTTTGTTCTGTCTCCGCTCCTCCTGCAGTTCCGACTCGATCTTTGCCCGTATTAGTTCGGCCTCCGCCTGACTCTTCGTCGCCGCATCCTCCTTCTGCTGCTGCAAGGCTTGGTATAGCTTCTGGGTGACCGCCAGGTGTTGTCGGAGGGCGGTGTTCCTATCCACATATACTCCGCACCTAGAGGCCCACCTTGCCACCTTGCTCCTCGTCCGTCGCCTGATTGTCTCCACATAAGACTGCGGTTTTAAGGCACTTGCGTATTTGGATGTCTTGCGATCTAGATATCGCAGGAGTGGAACTATCTGTTCGCACAGCACCCCTGTTGGCGTTTTCTGCACCGAATCCTCTTCTTGCTCTTCCGAGCTCGTCTCATCCTCAGTCTCGAGGATCTCAGTCGCCACCGAATCCCTTGGCGACTCCCTGGAACTGTGGCGCGCAGCAGCTTCCGCTGCGACTGCTGCTCCACTGCCTGCTAAAATATCCAGGGCAGTGGGAGATCCCACTGCTTGAGCCCCTGTTCCGGCTTGATCTTCGGTTTGTGAAGGGGTCGACGCCGCAGTGACTTTTGTCACTCTTGATCCGCCCGCTTCTGCTGCCTGTCCTTCCGGCGCAATCTGCGCGGAAGGTGTCCTTGCTGAAGGTGCGTCCGCCGAAGGCGTCCGCACACTCGTCGTTGGCCCCATCCGTCTCGCAGTCGGCGAATCCGGCTGACTCTCTGTTGTCCGACTCGCAGTCGGCCGACCAGCAGTTGTCCGACTGGGAATCGGATACACCCTGCGCGTCTTGACTCCACTTGGCCTGTTTGCTGGTGGCGTTCTTCCAGAAGTGCCTTCCGCCGAAGACGACCCTCTGAGGATTGTTGGCTTGTCAGCCAAACTCTCTTCTGCTTCCGGCCTGCTGTCCGGTTCAACGCGCCGTTCAGTTGGCCTTCCTTCCGCTTGTCGACCTTCAGTCATCCGACTCGCAGTCGGCCGGTCGTCTGTCCGTCCATCTCCTCCCGAAGGCCGTGGTGCCTTCTGTGCAGAGGTTTCTGCCGTCTTCCTTAGGACCTGAGCAATTATCTCTTCCTGTGTGAGATTCCGCCGGGTCGGAGTTCGCCTGGTCTCCTCAGTAACAGTTGGCATTCTGCGTGCCCTCTGTTTTGGTCGACTGTGAGGCTCGGGGGTGGGCCGACCACGAGTCGGCGCAGCTGGTACTTCCGGCTCCCTGTCCTCAGGTCTCTCATCCCACTTCCGCTTGCGCGGAATGCGCTCACTTCGACGTTCTTCTGCTGCTCTGGCTGGAGCCGGAGCCGGAGGCGTACTGGCAGGTTCCTCGTCCGGATCCGTGTCTACTTCGGCCTCCCTCGAATATCTACCTGGATAAGTCCGGCTCAGCTGCGGAAACCGAGTTTTCTCAGCATTCGTCAAACATCCCATCGCCCGGTAAAACACGATTAAGTAAGGCGATAGATGATTGAGCGTTCCTCCCCTCTCTTCTTGCGCATGTTGGCGCGTTACCTTCCACAGGAGCCGTGCCCAATGCACCGGAGCTCCTGACAACACTAGCTCCACGAACTCTACCTGCCAACCATGCATGTAAGCGGTCTTGGTCGGCTGCAATATCTGCAGCAATGCCGTCGCGACATTTCTCCGCAATCGATCCTTGTAATCCCGTGTCCGGAAACCGTTCTTGGGATGTCTAGCCACCTTGAAGAGCTCATTGTAAGAGACTTCTTCCTCCTGGGACACTTTCACGCTGTCGGCCTCGAAGAGGAGATCCCCTTCCTCGCCGGCACACCTGCCCAACACCTGCGCCCGATTGCAAATGTCCCATCTCTCTGGGTGTGGGCGAAATCCGCGAGAAGGCTTGTGTCTCTCTTGCAGATACTCGCGCACCATCTCCGGACATGTCCAATTCCACCCCCAGAGGAGAAAATTGAGCTTCAGCCTCGTCAGCACATCTTGAAATGCGCGTAGACCGATCTGCGGCACCCTGAGTGGAGACACTCGCAGCTGGGGAACCTTCGACATTGCGTTGCCTGCACACACAAACGTTCTCCCTTTCGCTCGCTCTCTCACAATCGCCACTGCGCGTCGGCCACTCAAGCACTGACTGCTCACTCTCTCTGCGCTCGTTCAAGATCGCTACTCCCAATTCTTTCAAGGTCCGCCAAGATCCTTGTGCAACTCGTCTCCGCACTCTCTACTCTCACTGCAGGTAGCTCCCCCCTAGCGCGTAATCTTGGAACTGGAAATTGCAAAGTCAAGAATGAGAGAATGAGACTGGAGCGCAGTCTTTTCTTCTCCGATTTCAAGAACGTCCAACGTTCTTACTGGTTGCAACGTACGCAGCCGGCTATACGGCTTAACGGTTCGCCCTTTGCATGCGCGAATTCACGTCTCCGCATTGCGCGCATTCGCATGCTTAAACGTTGAATTCTCCCGCCGCCGCCACCTTCCGGACTCGAGTCCGCTGCAGGGTATACGTCGACCCTGTTGTCTTTTCCTAACCCGCCCTTCTCCGGAGGCGTGTCGCCGCTGGTGCGTTCATTATCCGTCGGCGCCTTGCTGGAGGCGCACATCCAGTCGGATCGAATTATGCCGGCGCGCAGTCGTACCGCCTATTTTGTCCTTTATGCCTCGTCCGTTGCTGCCGGCGCATATCCGCCAGCGCAACTCATGTCAGCGCTTCCGACTGTCAGCGCCACGTCGGAGGCGTACATCCGACCGGCGCTTTCCTTCCATGAACAGCCGCCAAAGGCGCTTCCGACTCTGAGTGGGTTTCCTCCTATGAGCGCGTGATTCCACCGAAGGCGCATCGCCGAGGGCGTACGGGAATCCTTTCCGGCTGTGAACCCTAGCGCGAACGGCGCATGTCCGGCTACGAGTTTTCCGACGCTCATAACTTCTCCATTCCTGATCCATCTCCGACGCTCTTGGACTCGTTAGAACGAGCATCCCGAGCTCTTTCTAATGCAACTTCAACCAACTGGATCTACCGTGTATCCCGATTGTTATGAAGGTTTTCCCTTTTCGTGCTAGCGGCGCTTCGCCGAAGGCGCACTCATGGTCGGATGCCTTTAGAGGTCCGGGCCCTTCTCCTGACGTCTTTAGCAAAACCTCCTCCTGAGGTGTCTGCGCCGGAAGCGTAGCTTCCTTATACGCTAGAGGCGCGTGAATAGAGGCACCTCAAAAAGGAGCTTTTGCCGAAGGCGCCGAAGACGTTGGCGTTGGTACATCCGACTACGTGATTCTTTGTGCCCTCGTGACGATCTCATCAATCCACTCTATTTAGCGTACCCTTCTCTAGCTACAAACACTGCTTTGGTACTTGTTTTCTAAAATTGTTTAAATTCTGCAAAAAAAACAAAAAGTGTGTTACCACAATTTTCTTATCGACATCAAAAATATTTCAGTATTTCAGACCAACAGTAACTCAGATTCTTATTGCAACAATCATCTCTCAAAATCGAGTTGCTAGCATATAGATTGACACAAGAGGCATGCACATGCAAATCTGATCACAAAATACATTATTGTGTCATCAAATGTAACCAAGGGAAATTTTCTACAATCTCATTTTACACTGGATATAGCCTCCTCTATCCCCGCATCTCCTCCTGCAGACGTCTCGGCTGCTTTGCTATATACTCCTGCTGTCTTACCCATCCCTGCCCTGCACTTCCACTGGGACTTGGAATTATCGCACACCAAGGGTCTTCGATGATCCGAGCGTATTGAAATGAGTGAAAAGGAGGTTGGGGTAGAAAGAATATCAAGTCAAATTCAGCCAAATATTTCACCACGTCAAGTTCTATACCTTCTTCATCGAACACGAAAAATGCATCACTGCCTCCTGTGGCATAGAAGTTGAATAATGTGGGATAACCTAGACCCATTGACCCAATAATCTCGTGTTAACAGCTTCATCCATTGCTTCGTCCATGTTCCATGGAAATCTCCGTCTCCCGATCAAAGTTCGATCATACAGATCTCTAGCTCTCCTGATCAAAGCTCCATCCATTCTCCGGACCATGGGATTCCGGAGGAAATTGGTGACATTGATCCAACGATCAAACTCCACTTCGAAAGGCCAATTAATCCAATCACTGGCGAGTAAGCACAAATGTCTTTCATACGCAGCCATTTGAAGGCCAATTGGCGTGGCCTCCATGGATTCCTCTACCAAGGCGTTCCACGTTCCCTCTTCCAGATCAAATATCAAGAGAGCCTTCCTCTTGCGGTGAAAGGGATGCCATACGATCCAATACAGACATCTATTACATTCTACACTTCTCCTATTACTCCACACATCCTTCATCCGTTCAGGAAACGGATGTATTCCCCACGACCATGTACCCATCGTCGAATCGTAAATCAAAGTTCGGCGTCTATCTGTTGCGACTAGAACTCCTCCCAAAACCAGCTTGAAGTTTTTCGTAGATTGGTCCACGACTAAGCCCACCACCTTACACTCCAGCAAACCATCAATAACTGTATGTTCTCCATCGATTTCACGAGGTACGTTTAAAGGCAGGATTTTGTCCGGAACTGGGTTATACATGATGTATGCTGTTGAAAATAGTTCACCGAAACAGTAGGCCTCCATCAGCAGCGACCAATTGGGCCTAAATGTAAGATTCCTTGTGATCCATCGATCTCTACAGCAGAAGTAGGCCGTATTTTCACGACTTGCATTGAACCCAAGAACAGATTTTTTCCAGATGTTGTTCCGTAACTCAGGACCATCTATGATTTCCTTCCATTTTTTACAAACTGAACGACATTCCAGAAGAGTGGAAATTGGCAGATCATGATCTCTGAGAATCTCGATCACGAAATCGATAGGTAGACTTTCCAATGCATCTTCCGGGTGATGCTGACCTCTTTCGGGCTCCATTCTAACGAACGAACTTTGAAAAGATCATACATATGAGTTCATCTCTGAATCTGCAATCTGCAACTTCTCAGAAGGAAACAGTACTCAGTCAAGTCAATGTTGAGTTAGCGACGACAAAAAATTTAAAGCGGATCGAAACGGATGGGCACAAATGAAAACAATTGTGTGTTTCAATATCTGCATTTATACGTGTGAAGCAGCTGTGAAACTTGAGAACGCTGGCTGCAGAAGTGTGGACAAGAGAATTGGGATAACACTGACGAAACAGTGCATTGTCAGATAAAGGACAGTGAACGGGAAAGAAGTTCCCGTCCCTGAGGTTCCGACCTATGAAGTCATCGACCGAAACACCGACTAGTATCGGTTGACAGTTACTCGTGCATCAGTAATTTCAGCATGTCACTTTCGATTTGGTGTTCGTTTAACTGTCAATTTCACACTTTGAAGTATAAACATACTATTTTCAACTTCAAAAACATTCTCTCGACAGTACTCCGTTGGGTATCTTTCGGTTTTTATTGATCGTTTGTAATACAGTTTGAATCTAACAGTAATAGTAATATAAGCATTCTGTCAAGAGTAAATACGTTCGAACTTCAAAAATGACTGATAACTCTTCACCTCCACCTGGGGCATCTACATATATTCAAATAGAAAGTATTCTTCTATCAATGGATTTGCAGAAGGCATTAAGTTTACAGTTTTAACGTTTTGTTCATCAATCCCCCTACCATTCTTGCAGTGTCAATCTCCACCCTCACAAAGTTTACAATAATTTTACCACCAGAACTTGCAAAAAAAAACTCAACAAACTCGACACACCTCAGCCTTGCCCTGCCTCTGCAGCAACAGCAAAAACTTTGCTCCATAGCCACAAGCCACCTCTAGGCTGGCCTAAATCCTACACCCACCGCCACATACGCCGAGAGAGAGCCCATCCACCTCCGCCTCGTGAATCATCAACTTCTTGCTCTCATAGAGTTGTAAATTTCATGTAATTGTACTCTTTTCATCTCTTGTATATGCCCTTGTCACCGGCATTGACCTTGGTACCACTCTTGGTTTTTCTTTTGCCGCTTGCGCTGACAGTCTTTCCGCGATAGAGATTCACGTACTTCTTTACTTTCTTGTACTAATGGTAATTGAAACTTTGTTTTTGTTTTCATCATATTTTTTTATAGATGTTGAGAATTTCTAAATGAGAAAAAGTATTCTATGTTGTTTCTTCTTTGAAGTTTGTGTTTCATGTTTTGATGAGTTGTTCTCTAAATTTTGGATATTATTGCCAATTTTTGTTAATCAAGTTTTAAACAAAATTTCAACAAAGACACTAAATATTACAACAAGTGCAAAGATCAAACAAATAATTACATATTTTAATACAGCTCACACCTTTTTCTTCTACGAAATCTTCAATCTCCAACTTGACTTTGTCAATACAAAGTTGATATATCAAAAATTTCATTAGCAACCCCGTGTTGTTATCAATCATTGATTTTATCTCACCCTCTATAGCAATATTTTACTTCAGTTATGAATATCAATGAAGAACTTAGTTTGTTTTTAAAAAACTTTTCCAATCTTAACATATCGTCACCACCATCTTAAGATTTGATGATTTATTACTCTTGTGCAATTTGTGAAATCAATGCTTCTTAATTATAATTACCAAACTTATTAGCTATAAAGACGTTGAATGCATATTGGAAGTTGTTGAAATCAATTGAAATTTGTTGAAACTTAGGATATAATTGTCATTCATTCAAAATAAATTTTAGTTATAAAGAGAAAGCTTGTGTTTGATGATCAAAATCTATTTTTATTTAAATCCTCAACAAAAATGTCATCATATTAACTTTACAAATTCATTTTTTATTGGTCTTCGTAAGGTTGGATTCTCAATGGCCAGATCACGTTAGTGTACTTGCTAAAGGGCCTCTTCTCTTTTGAATTATAATCATGTGATTTTTTGTAATTTCAATTAAATCTTTGAGGTACGGAATGATCGGAGTTTTCTGTTTTCGTTTCATTTGTTCTTTACACGTTTAAAAGTTACGGGTTTCATTGCATCGAATTGATCTCGTGGTACACTTCATATTTACAATGCATTTGCAATTTACATAAGATTTTGGGAAAACCTTATATCTTATAGAAAATTAAACTCTTTCCGTAGAATGCATGTTTCAAATATTGCAATGAGATAAAGTGGCCAAGCAACCGTGAAATATGACACCAGTTAGAGTTTAAATAGCAAGTAGCCAGCTTGATGTCATCTCTTATGAAAATTTATAATCACGATGAAAACAGTGCATTCTTAGTTCTTCTACACAACTATCTTTTTGGTGAAAACTATTACTTTTAATTATTCATCGACGACGTGGATATCAGCACACAAACACTACCTTCACAAATCCGCAAAAGCCATCGGTGAACTTGCCAGTGTATCCGATTAGCCAGCGGCTAAATTTGAGTTCCTAGTAGGTTGTATGGCCTAGCTGGCTACGTGACCATGCCTACTTCCGCTGTCTACCCCGCTAACTGATTGATGCAACTGGTTCCAGCACCAAAGAGGCCATGCCGCAAGCAAAACATAAATAGATTGAGAATTTTTTAGAGCGAAAATCCGAAGAAATCCGAGGACGTGAAGATTTTTTTTTTTCGTCAAGTTTTCTTACAAAGAGTGTAGTCCGAGGGTTAGTACTTGTTGGACACGTGTAGATCGTGTAAAGTTTTACAGTATTTATTAATAACGTATCCCGAGGGTTTTGAAAAGAAATTAGTAACACATTTAACAGCCGTTTGAACATGTTTAGCCATATGTGGGACTCTCATTCTGGAGTACTGATTAGATTAGAATTGTAATTCCTTTGAAAAGTTTGAAATTCAAAACCTCAGAAAAAAATAGGTTTATATTACATCTGGTAGTATACATTAGAAACATATAGATATAACTTGGTATGTTGGGGTTCATTCTATGATTATAAGTCATCGATCAAAATCTGGCTACTTGAATTACTTATGTCTAATCTAGTCTCATCGGAGGATTGCGTCCAATTTCCGAGGGAGCAACACAGTTTGTCCGTCGGCACCATGCAGTAACTGGTTGCCCGAGAGTCCACATCCGAGCAATCTTCGAGCCTTTTGCCTCACGTTGTGTACTGGATAAGGTCATCCCATAATGTATTGATACCAAATTTCAAGGTGTTAACCAATACTAAACGTATACATTGAAAACAGTAGACTCAACAACATCCTCGCGGTTTCATCATTCAGCACGAGGAAGATGCTGAATTTAAATTTCTCAAAGAAATTGTATTGTATAGATTCAACTCAATTCAAGATATTAATACGGAAACTGTTTTAGTATATATATATATATATATAAAGAGTTCGCTTATGTGGATTCTAAGAACTACTGGACGTTATCCACATGTCCCTGAGGTCACAATAGTGGACGTTATTTCTATTGGCGGTAACTGATTGGAAATTGTTACTTTGAAGTTACAATGTAGATTCAACGTTTGAAATTAAAAATCGAACAGTAGAAACATTTAAGATTATTAAGATTAATAGATCATGTGTGATGAAAATAATTGAAGAAAAACAGTTTTATCATTTTAAGTCTAGGAAGTAAAAGAGAGAAAAGTAAAGAAATAAAAGACTTTACTACTAGGGTTGGATTATCAATTTTGGTCTAGTAAGTAGTATAGAGAAAAGTAAAGAAATAAACAAAATTTACTAGTACAGTTGGATTATCATTTTTAGTCTAGGAAGTAATAGAGAGAAAAATAGAGAAATAAATAGATGTTTCTAGTAGAGTTGGAGTATCATTATTTATCTAGGATGTAGTAGAGAAAAAAGTAAAGAAATAAAAAGATGTTACTAGTAAGGTTGGAGTATCATTTTAGTATAGGAAATAGTAGAGAAAAGTAAAGAGAGAAAAAGATAGTACTAGTAGGGTTGGAGAAAGTTTAGGCAGATCTTTGCCCGCTAAGAATGCAAGAAGCGACTGTAGGAGGTAGCGGGAGCTGCTCCTAGTGCTTATGGAGCTGGAGGAGCGGACAAGGATTGTGGAAGGGCAGGATTGATTGGTGGCAGGATGGTTGCGCCAGCCGAGAAAGGCAAGAGAAATCAAAAGCAGTGAGTCGGAGCACGAGGTTGTCGCTCGTGGAAGGTTTCCGATTGTGTGAGATTCTCAAAAATTCCTAGAGAAGGTCTTGACGGTTGCTGGGGAGAGTAGTGCTCGAGGAGGAAGAGGACTCAAGAGTTCCAACATGGCATGGCTCCAGCTGGTGGAACAGGGTGGATCTGCTTTGAAGCAGGTCACTGCATCTTCTCTATGGGCTAGAGTTAGAAATGACTTCCGGACGTCCCTATTCTTTCTTGGTTCGCAGGTGCACAATCTCACACATGGAGGTTTAACTTTTCAAAAGACTCCAAAAGCGCTTTATGTCGGGTTATATCAGCGGGTTTTCCCCGAGGTTGGAGAAACTTGAAAGGGAATCCAGCAAATATGGCACAGATAATAAGCATGCAGCTGTATTGAGGGAGTTAAATAAGGTTGACCCAGAAGGGATGATCAGATGGTTTGAGACTCGGTCTGCAGCTCACCGTAGTCCAGCGGCGCTTGCAGAATATGCAAAAGGGTCTGATAAAAGTGGACAGGCTGGATCAGAGCCTTCTTTTCAAGACCTTGCAACGAGAGTCTCTGCCAATTATGGAAGAAGCATCTTCATCTCTTGCTTATGTGTGGTAACACACTTTTTGTTTTTTTTGCAGAATTTAAACAATTTTAGAAAACTAGTACCGAAGCAATGTTTGTAGTTAGAAAAGGGTACGTTAAATAGAGTGGATTGAGGAGATCGTCACGAGGTCACGAAGAATCGCGAAGCCGGATGTACCAGCGCCAATGTCTTCGGCGCCTTCGGCAAAAGCTCCTTTTCTGAGGTGTCTCTACTCACGCGCTTCCAGCGTTTAAGGAAGCTACGCTTCCGGCGCAGACACCTCCGGAGGAGATTTTGCTAAAGACGTCAGAAGAACGGCCCGGACCTCTGAAGGCTTCCGACCATGAGTGCGCCTTCGGCGATGCGCCGCTAGCGCGGAAAGAGAAACCTTCATAACGATTGAAATACACGGTAGTTCCAGTTGGTTGAAGTCGCATTAGAAAGAGCTCGGGACGCTCGTCCTAACGAGCTCAAGAGCGTCAGAGATGGATCAGGAACGAAGAAGTTATGAGCATCGGAAAACTCGTAGCCGGAAATGCGCCGTTCGCGCTAGGGTTCACAGTCGGAAAGG